ATGAATGACTTCAGAGAAACAAATTAGAAAAAACTTCGCCCTCAAAGCTGAGGACAAGTGTTTGTGGTCAGTCTGACAGAAAACTGAACTTTCATTATGTCCAGATTAATGTGGCTTCACTGACACACACACACACACACACACACACACCAGCTTCTATTTCTGAGGGGATTTTCCTCCGTTACAGATCACCAGGCTCCGACCACAGAAATAATAAAAAGTCCATGTGGTCAGTTGAGGTCACAGGACGTCGGTCAGTAAACACATTAATATTGACAGAGGACCATCACGGGCACCGAGCCCTGTGACCCAGCCGGGGGGTGGGGGGTACACCACTGGACAGCTGTGTGGTCAGTTTGGACGGAACCATTCTGGACCAGGTGGTCGGACACCAGTGAACCTAGAACTGTCCACTTCTGTCCACCATCTGGCCCACATGTCGGTCAGGAGGAACAAGGACCTAGAACTGTTGACCTTGGTGACGACGGGCGGGTCAGGTGACTACAGGACATACAGACCACCATACAGACCACCATACAGACTACCATACAGACCACCGTACAGACCACCATACAGACCACCGTACAGACCACCATACAGGGACAAGGATATATGACATATTACGATACTATAGGCACAGAAATATATATATTTTCATTCATAGATATATTTTATTTATATATTTTTTATGTTTAAAATATATATATTTATACTAGTGGGGGGGGGGTTATTATTATCAGTTCCCAAATTCTGTCTGATTATAAAACATGTTTGGTTGTGATGGTTGGAGACAGACGCTGCATCAGAGGTCAAAGGTCAGACTGGTCAGACCCAGGTGGTCGTACGTGTGGCTGTGATCGATGACATTAAAGGCCCTGATCAAAGGCGTACGTGTGGCTGTGATCGTATACAGTATTAAAACCATTTGAAGTGATGACATTAAAGGCCCTGATCAAAGGCAACAGTTAGCTAACGTCAGCCACTCGGAAAAGAGAAAGTAAAAAGAAAACAGACAATTCCAGGATGTGGCAGCGCTGACCCCCCGGGG